GAGTTTGGTCAAAAAGTACTTAATTATATTTATGTTGAACCAAATGATATAAACATTCACTATAATTTCCAGGTGGTTCATTCTGAAATCGTGTTCTCAGTTTCTTTGTGAATGGGTGGGAACAATAAAGGCAGACCAAAGGGATGAATTGTGAATGGGGAACATTTTTTAGGCAGACCAAATTGCCAAAGGGCAATTTGTCCGGTCCTTCTTTGGAGACAATCCCATACATGCCTTCTTCTTTTTTGGTTGTGAATTGAGATTTCCTTTGGTGTCTATCTTGGATGCACCCACTTAGCAGTTTGGGTTCCCCAAAAAGTAGCCCTTGAACAGTTACCTCAAAGGGAGACTCGCCTCAAGTGGGCCAAACAACGTTAACAAATACAAACAATCAAGGGAACACCTTTTTGGGACCTGCTGTAGTAGGCGGTCGCAATAGTAGGCCAACTAAGTGCAGTTTCTCCAGTAATCTTGCTTTGACCTACTTAGTAGTTTGAGCATCCAAGATTGCTTGGCCCCACATTTCTCCATTTCTCCCGTGGTCTGAGGAAAATGGGCCCCAATCAAATAGCCCGTTTCAAGCCCCCTCCCCCAAAAGAAGAATACGGTTATCCGGCCTCTTAATTTCCATGGAAAGCCAAAAAGCCGATTCCCTCAACACAAACGGCACACCCAAGGGAGTCAACAGGGGTTTCGGGAATGAACCCATGGACCCCTTTTGCAATGGCTTGCACAGTTTAGGGTGATCGCCCGTATTCCCTGCTGAAAACCAAGAAACTGGGTCCCCGAAGGGAAAAGGAAGCCGACCTTACCTTTGGTGCATTTTGCCAAGGGATCTTAGGGCTTGAGAACTTTTTGCCCACGAATTTGGGTTTTCCAGTAAACCACTAAAAGTTATTCACTTTTAGCAGTGGAGCAGAAAGCAACCGAGTTACATTGATTCAAGGTCAACATGTTGACATTGTGTTTTTTCCACACTTGACCTGTTTTGTTTGTTTCCGTAGGAGTTCCTGCACAAATTCCATGAATAGCAAGTCAACCAACGACAATGTGAATTACCTGGACCCTGAACATTCACTTAGAAATTGGTGATTGCTCAAAATTACGGAGTGAAGTTCCATTTCTATGGGTAGTTCTTTCGGGTTCAGGTATGTCGTTCCTGGGAAGAAGCTGCGGCTTCTGGCGCTAAAACTTTGGTTTGGCCATCCGCCCAACTCTGCGCCTAGGGAGGCCCCCGTGGCTCTCTCGCGGATCGGGCATGTGCTTCTTTGACACCAACAATGGCCTTGGTGTTCCTTTTTGGCTTTCCTTGACCAAAAAAGGGGAACCCTCAAAAACAGACAAGGTGGTTTTCCTGTAAATTTGAAAGGTGTCAACTCAACAAACACCTGGAACGTAAATAACGTTTTGTGCTATTTTGGGTTGCCCTGACCAAAGTAAACAAAGATGACAAGTCCTGGGACCCGAGCCAGCTCTTTTCCGAAGGCTTCAGGGGTTAGCAAGCGTCACACAGGTCAAATTTGCCGCCAACTGCGCCCAAATACTGCCGTTATCGGCTGGGTTCAAATTATGAGATCTGTGAAAACACGTTGAAACTCAAGCGAGGATGGACCGTGGCAGCCTCCTGCAAAGAGTTTTTTTCATGCAGTTGCAAGCGCAAATTCGGAGGGGGGAATTCGCTTCCAGGGACATATGGGTTGAGAAGCGACCATGATCCCAGACGTAGCCTATGTCTAAGTATGCGAATTCCTCCCGTATAGAATTCGAAAAAGTGCATGGCTTATGAATCCTCGAAGGTTGTGACCCTTCCAAAGCATCGAGAAATCCAGCGGTTTGGATCTGGATGCGGCGTCAGGGAACCAAGGGTTTGGGGGAGCCTGGAGTCTCCTTCTGACCATTCCAAACTGGGGTCAAATGATCGCCTTTACTTCTGGGCGGCCCCCATTTTTTTAAAGGGTCATGGAGACTCCAGGTAATTATCCCTTTTTTGTTTGGCGGACCCAATGAAACGGTCAATTCAAAGGCCTCCCTTTTGTACGAGTAGGTTCAGCCCCGTGCCGGCTGTATTTGGCCAGCCTTTGTCTGAATACTTCCCCCGAGCTAGTTCCATTTTTTTCGTTTTTTTCCTTGTTTGGGGTTCCCTTTAGTTTTCCACTAACCAGGCAAAGATTTGTTTTTTGTGTGTGTTTTTCTGGGACCCGTCCGAATTCCAGCCAAGAATATACATATCCATCAGATGAACCGAGGCCCGGGTGCGGGAGGACGCGTTTTGAGAGCACTTTAAAGGAAGCGAAGAGGCCCTGGGGTTCAGGCAGGCCATGAAAACAATGGTTGGGCTCGTAGAAATTTTACCTTTGGAGGGTTCCTGGAGTCTCCATGACCCTTTAAAAATTGGGTTATTTCCCAAAATGAAGGGGTCATGGACCCATTTTTAAAGGGTCATGGAGACTCCAGGTTGAGAAAAGGGTGTTGTTTCTTCCTTCTGGGGAAAGCCACCAGACAAAAGAAGAGGAAACACAACAATCATCGGTTCTTGCCATGTTAAAAAGTTTTTTGTTGGGGTTATGTTCATGTTTCGTGGGCGGGAAACGTGTTTTGTTTTTCTTATTCTTTTTTCTCACGTGCCAGAGGGTTGAGGGAGGTTCCCCCCCCCTTCACTCTCGGGCCGCTAAAGGAGCGACTTGGGGCCGAGCTTTCAAGCTTGGCGAGCAACGGAAAGCTTTGGACCTTTGTTGAGACAGAAACTTCCATTGGCTAATACCTGGAGTCTCCTTCTGACCCTTAAAAAATGGGGTTGTTACCCAAATTAACGGGGTCATGACCCCATTTTTCTAGGTTTTTTTCCGCACTTGGTGTGTTCTCATGTTTTCCGGAAGGAATACATTTAATGGCCTGCGGCCTGGTTCCGCCGCCCCCACACACCTTAGAATTTCGGCCCGGGACGAGAGAAAGCACGCGATATGTAGACAGACACAGACAGACACAAAGACACGCAGACAGACACGCAGCGGGGGGGGAGGGTCTTCGCGGACACGAAGACAGACGCAGATGCGCAGGCAGACGCAGACAGAGCCAGACAGACACAAAGACACGCGGGGGGGGGGGACACGAAGAAAGACGCAGATACGTAGACAGACACAGACAGACACAGACAGACACAAAGAGACAGAGACAGACACGCAAGGGGTCTTCGCGGACACGAAGACAGACGCAGACAGACCCAGACAGACACAAAGAGACACAGACAGACACGCAGGGGCAGGGGGGGTCTTCGCGGACACGAAGACAGATGCAGATACGTAGACAGACATAGACAGACACAGGGGGGGGGGCGGAGGGGTGGGGGAAGACTACCCGAAGCCTAGGGAAGAAGCCCGAAAGCCCAGGACACGCGCGTTGTTTGGTCCCGAAACAGTATCGGAAGACTAGGAGAAGAAGCCGGAAGATTACGGAAGACTACGGGAAGAAGCCGAAAGATTGCGGAAATTTACGGGAAGAAGCTTGAAAGATTTCGGAAGACTACGGGAAGAAGCCGGAAGACTACGGAAGACTACGGAAGACTACGGGAAGAAGCCGGAAGACTACGGAAGACTACTGGAAGAAGCCGAAAGATTACGGAAGATACGGGAAGAAGCCGGAAGACTACGGAAGACTACTGGAAGAAGCCGAAAGATTACGGAAGATTACTGGAAGAAGCCGGAAGACTACGGAAGACTACGGGAAGAAGCCGGAACACTACGGAAGACTACGGAAGGACTGGGGGGGGGGAGGTGGGGGAGGGGGGGGGAGGGGTGGGGAAATCCAGAATTCCTGAAATCCAGAAATCCAGAAATCCAGAAATCCAGAAATCCAGAAATCCAGCCGACGTAGAAACCAGCCCCAAGGGCCGCCCCAAGGGACATATAGGTTATATATATATATATACATACATAATCATATTCACATTAAACTTATAGAAAGCATATCAACAAAAGCAACACAGAACACACCGCCCCCATGCCGAAAGCATGGTCCATTCTGGACCAGGCATGGGGTCGGCGGATTTTCCGCATTGGACCCACAAACGGTGGCTTCAACTTTTTGCAGCGTGGTCGTTTCAGCCAACACACATCTGCACAACATTGGCCAACGTCGGATTCTGGCTATAGGGACTGAGCCTCCCCGTGTTTGGGAGCGATGACGGAAGCCTAAAGCCTGGGGCGTCCCTATGTTTGGAAACACATTTACTCACCAAGACTAGGTCCCGCAGTAGTGCCCTTCTACCCTGTGTTGGTTGGGAGGGTTCCCCTACTAAAATAGACTGCAGAAAAACGGGTACCCTTGTTCTAACCTCTCTACTGGAGGAGCTAGAAGAATGACTCAACAAGCTTTTTGCTGTGCAAAATAAATCCGAATCCCGCCAGGCATGGCAGTGGTTTCCCGCGGTGCCTAGCGATCAGATAAGGATGAGGGATTTCGGGGATACCCACTCAAAGAGTCTTTGTGGTTGGTTCCGTTGGCTTTCCCTTCAGTGCATTTTTTGGGGGTTACCAGAAAACAGAATCCGGCCTGAGCAAATGGACATCCGTTTCGGAGCAAGCTGATCCAAAGCATGACTTCAGCAAGCCTGCCACCCTCCCAAGACCTCCCAACCATTCAGGTTTGGTTAGCCATACTGTGAGAACACAAAATCCATCTCGCACCACTTTGAAACCATGGGAAGCCGTTGTTTCTGGGTATGTAGGAACCATATCATTCCAGGGTGTGAAAGGTTGTGTGAAATGGATTTCGTCCACAGAATGACCTTTACTTGGCCAGATTGATCCTTCACGCTTAACAACAGGTGCCACTTGTTGCGCTGTGCTTAACACGTTCCGCAGCTTGAGCTTGATGCATAGTCAAGGCGAAATCCGACATGAGGCATCCGCACGGAATTCAGAACCTGGCACAAGGTTGCTTGGGTCAAAAGGGTACTTAGGTTCAGAAGGCAGCCTCAAAGCGTCTCATCCTCAAGCGCGCTAGACACATCTTAGGCTCCGCCAAAGGCGCTGGAAGGAGCCATGTGGGCGCTGCGTCGAGCCAGCCCTGCGCTGGTCCGGAAGCCCGAAAGGGGTGTCCTTTCGGACGGGATAATATATTGATCAGTCCAAAGCGAGTCGATCTTTTCTTGACTGCTATTGGGTTGGATCTTTAGACTTTGACTGTTTGTTTGAATTCAAGTTGGGTTTTCCACTAAACCCCCAAAAAGCTAAACTTGTTGCAGGGGGGCAACAGCAATCAAGTTTTAGCCTCCATTTGCGTCGAAAATCATACGTCGTGTCTTTCCCGCTGCTGGTTTTTGAGGGAATCGATTCACTGGAAATACATTTGTAATTTTCAGGGGACTTAAAGCAAATGGAGGTTAAGCTTTTGGTTTCCCCGACTTGGTCCATGTTTAGTCAAGGTTCCAAAAGCTTAACCTTGTATTTCTGGACTCTCTTGAACGAGAAGCAATCGACGGCCCTAGTTGTGAAACAGGTCAACCAGGAATCGCCATCTATTTTCTACCCAACAAAAATCAATATATAGGGACATGGGCTAATCCCAACCTGAACAAGCTAATGAGGGCAGGGAGGGGGGGAGGGGTGAGCGAACCTGGAGTTGAACGTCGTACCGATATTCCATGTGGGTCCTTCCATTCACAGCACAACTCAATCTCTGGGTTGGACGTTCTTTTTGGAAACCTGGACCCTCGAATCTCCATCTGTTTTATGGGTAGTTCTCTCTTGGGTCCAGGAAGACCAAACACATTCGTTCTAGGGGTTGATTCCTTGTCCATTCTTTTCAGCCATCGTTCTTTTCAAAAACCGATCGCCATTAGGGTTGTTTGGTGGTTTTCTAGAAAGAAAAATCGGATCCCTGGGTTCGGAATGGAAATGGAAGTTACCCCTAGCTTCGTGGGTAAACTTTAAACCCCCGGCTTGGATGGCCCAATGGGAAGTGAGCCAAAAGGCGGCTACGATCCCAGATCCGTGTATTTGCGCCCCTTTTTGCGAACTTGAAACGTGGCAGGCTCGCTCTCGTTCCCCAGTCGTGACGGACAGGTGGTGTTTTTGTTGCTTCAGCGACTTGGGCGAAACAATTGGAAACAAGTCTTGCCAATTGTTTGGGCCCGCAATTGTACAACTCTGTATCCCAGCAATCATGAAACTCTGCGCACTCGAGTGGTACTCCACTGATTTTACTATGCACACTCCGGAAACTCCGTCATTTTTTGATTTGCAGGAGTTTGCGTTTTTTTTTTTTTTTTTTTTTAACGGGAGTTGGCGGGCTTTTTGCGGGTGTTTTGCGCTGAGTTTCAGGTGTGGTGTTTTCCGGTTTTGCAAATTTGTCGCCCAAAGGCGATAAATCCGAATTCAGAATAACTCTGAATTCTGAATAAGTGATCCTGATGCAGGTGCACGATTCTGATTCAGAATAATTATTGCTGAATTGGAGAGTTCCTTCCGTCAAGTACCGAATAATTGCGATTTCTAGGGGTTTCAGGTGTGCAAACCATTTCCAGCAGCGACAATCAATTTCTAGGAGCTTTGCCCTTAAAAAACCAGGAGTTTGAAAACTCTGCATTTTTTCACTGAGACCCTGAAAAAACTGGTAGTCTCCGGATTTTACGTTCAATATTCATGCTTTGGAAGATCCAGGCATGTAATTTGTTGGTATTTACAGGGGAATTGGCATTTCGGGGTTTCTCCTCGGTGGTGCGATTTCCGAATTTCGCAACCATGCACAGTAGGGCTGCAGATTGGGTTCCACAAAAACCACCACTTTACATGAGGGGTCTCCTTGGGTTAGAATCTGGGTGGGGACTTTCCAGGGGTAGGGATGATGTCCATTTAGAGGAAAATACAACAATCGAACATTGCTGCCTCGTGATGACTTGTGGTTTAAAAGTGCCCCACATAGTCTAGTCTATTTATGTAGGCCCGCATAGTACTTTCCTGCAAATCAATCAAGAAGGAGTTCTGAAAACACCTTCCGCAACACAGGGTTTCCGAAGGATGGTTATCAACAACACCTTTCCCCTTTCCTGTGCCCATTGTCTTCACCGGGTAAAGTCAGAATCCGGGTTTTGATGCCCTTTAACCCCGTTAGCCACCGACTCCCTCGATTGGAGCCCAATGCGATTCCCAGGCGCCTTTCGGACTCCTTGGAAGGCGTTCTCGCCTTTTTTTCAGAGGCCAATTTGGGGGGGAGCTTCCTTCTAGTCTCAGGGAGTGTAAAGGGGCTTCGTAAGCGTCAGGTAAGCGGTTCGTAAGCCTGGTTGCCCGCAAAAGCCATGGTGATGAGTCTCCCTTCTGTGGGTTATAACCTGGCTTACCCGTTCACTTCCCAAGTACCGATCACCCCTTCAAGTAGGCTGCTTCTCCTGGATCCCGGTGGGTTCCGCAAGGCGTCGGGTCAAAATTAACTCACCAGGGGACCGCAGGTTTTAGTCATATTTCCACTCACCAGGCTTCTGTGGGTACCTGGAGTCTCCATGACTAGAAAAATGGGGTCATGGCCCCCTTATTTGGGGTAACAACCCCATTCTTGAGGCTCATGGAGATTTCAGGTACCTATTTTTGACCCACACCCACTTTGAGAGCTGCGTTCATCTGGAGTTTTTCAGGTCACCGCAGCAGCTGCAAAGCTACACTCAGATCGTGGCTGCCTCAAATCAGTCATGATGAGTCCTGGGCGAAACGGAGCTCACCTGGCCCAGTGTTTGCAGGAATATGTGGGACCTGGACCCTCAAACTACTCTTACAAAAGGGACATCACCCATGTTGAAGGGACTTTTGAGGGTCCAGGAAGTCTACAATGCTGTTTTTTGGGGTTCGGGAAGAGACGAGGGACGCCCAAACTTTCCACGCCCTCTTGGAAACATAAAAGCTATTCCCAGCGAGCTTCCCTTTGAACCTAAGTACATAGTTTTTCCACCAACCTCCATGCCCCCTTACTTACGTACCCTCCGGTAACCCTTAATTGTTGGTTTGGATTGGTGGTGGGCCCTTATTCAGGGTTGATGGGAACCCCCCTCTTCGGCCATGTTTGGCTGCATGGGCGCACGTCTGCCGTTGTGCAAAACAGCGCTGCCAAAGCACGTGCCACCACCGCCGTCCCGTATAAGAATGACGCAAAGAAGCTGCTGCAGATTGTGGCAATTGTGGAAGATCGCCGTGAGATCCCTTCTATTTGGAACTTCACTCATGGAATTTCCCAAGGTAGAGGCAAAGCCCCATCAGGGTTCAAAACACCCTTCCATGCCCTAGAAGCCAAAGACCCGAAAGCATGAACCTGGACCCTCAAAATTCCAACTGAAGAATGGACTATTGCCCCCAAATTTATGGTTGGTGAGTTCCCTTGGCCATGGGTAGTTTGAGGAAGACAGGCCCCAAACGACCCCCAAAGACTTTGGGATTTGAACATCGACGTCGACACAAGCAAGACCCCAAAAGAAGGCTCCTCGAGGGTTTGAGGCAGTTTATGGAAGTGTGAGACACACTCAAGGTCTTTGAGTGGGTGAATTTACCCAAGACTGGGCCACTGGGCCAACCCAAAAACAGTTCTCTTGTGGGTTCTGCAAAATCACTCTTTTTTTTCTTTCTTGGGGGTGATTGGCATTGCAACAAGGTAACTTTCATTAGCTGAAGAATATGTTATATCTTGTTGGTGTTAAAGGGAATCTATCACTACTGGAAATCTGTTTTATTCGCTTGTTTATTATTTTTCCGAGGTGCTTAAGCAAATGGAAGCTAATCCATCCATGGAAAAAGCCAGCAAAGACCCGGTGACCTCCTGTGGATGGACAGAATCCTGCACCACTTGGAATCCATGCAAAACCATTGTTGGTTGGTATTACAGGGGCATCGAATCCTTCCAGGGTTTTTTAGGTGGTGCAAGATTTAGTCCATCCATGTGGGAGTGTTCCCCTCCAAAAGTGGTCAGATTCCCCACATTTCACCCACGTTCACATTTGAGCCACGCCTGGCCAATGTCATATGATCCTACAAAGAAGCGGCTCAACACCCAAAGCAACAGATTATATGAACCCCCCTTGCAAAAGCGATCTTGCTAGCCCCGTGCAGAGGTCCTTCTAGAACACCTTCTATTCCCCTCCAAAAGTGGTCAGATTCCCCACATTTCACCCACGTTCATCCCCACATTGTGTCACATGTCTTGGTGCGAGAAGCGGATTTCGCCATCCGCAGTTTGCATTTCTTGCGAAATGCGAGGCCGTGGGCGCAGGGAGCTCTCCGCGCCAAGCCGCTGCGAGTCTCTACAGGTGCACATCGATCGATTTGGGGGGCTAGCGGCGGGCCAACGGGTTTTCAGACCCCCAAAGAACTACCTGAACCCTCAAAACTCCAACTCAAAAATGGGTGATTGCCCCAAACATATGGGGTGACTTTCCTTTTTTAATGGGTAGTTTGAGATAGTTTCAGGGTTCAAATGGGTGATGGTCCAGGTAGTTTCAGGGTCCAGGTAGTTTCAGGGTCCAGGTAGTTTCAGGGTCCAGGTACCCATAAGAAAATGGACTTCACAAATTCCATAGATTTGGGTTGAACATCCTGAGGGTTCTGGTTCCCGGATCCGCCTGCGCGTTGGGATTTGTGAGGGGGTTGCCTTCCGATCAAACGTGCTTGAGGTACTCCACAAGCATTCCAGAGTCCTTTTCGGGATGCTGAATACTAAAAGGGGGGTACACTGCCTTTTTGCTGAACATTTGGATTTGAACCCCCCCCGACCCCTGACCCCTCCCCACTTGCACCCTATCATACACTTGATGCTTCATGAGGGCTACAAAAGGTTCGCACCTTTCTTGGAGGCACAAATTGTGCTGGGACGAGCGAAAGAAGCATGCGCCGTGATCCATGTACTGATTCCGGAGATCCATGTCCACTGAACAGCACCCGTTGCTTCTTTTTGCCTTGTCTACATCCCCCAGCTAGGGAGGGTTTCCCCACTAAAACAGACTACAGAAAAACCCGTATTCTAGCCTCTGTACTGGAGGACCTAGTTGTGTTATCTCTTTAACCACCAACCAACATGTTGTTCGTGAATTCCCATGGCTGGGCAAGTAAGGAAGAGGGTTGTTCAAGTTGTGTATTGCGTGGAACTTGCGGAATGCCAATGTCCCACTGTATGTGCGCGAGCAGAAGGCAGAAACAGGCAAGTCATCAACCCCTTTACCGGCCGAGAGAAAAGATCCAGAGGCCTCAAAATTCCAACTCAAACATGGGTTATTGGCCCAACATGTCGGAGTGAACTCCCCTTTTTATTGGTAATGCTAACCCCGGATTAATAACTCCCTGGTTGATTAATAGGGAGGGTGTCCCCACTAAAGTGGGGATTGAGACCTAACACTGGGAAGGTCTTATTAATCCTGGGTCAGGTTCAGGTCCCCTTTAGGAGCTTCTCTCATTGTCAAGCCGCAAGGCCGCTGCACAGCTGATCCTGCGGGATTCCGTCCAGCGCCTCGGAGCTCTATTAGGGGCGCGGACAGTGGCCTCGATCTGTGTCTAGGTCCCCCAGCAATTGGTGCCCTAACTCTCACCCCTTTTTTGGTTGGGAGGGTTCCCCTAGAGTAGACAGAAAAAGTTGGTACCCCTATTCTAGCCTCTCTACTGAAAAACCTAGGTGTGTTGCCCATTAATGTTGACCCCATATTTGTTTCAACTGCAGTTGGTTAAATGGGGGGTGGTTTTTGGCCCCTCCAAAAGTGGCTTGATTCCCCACGTTTCACCCGAGAAGCACCCACCTGTTAATGAACTGGTTGGTTGACTAATATATGGAGTCGGGGCAGGTCCGAGCCGCTACTAAATGATGACCAGGCTGGTCAGTTGACGAGCGTGTTTCCCCTTGCAGTTTGTTTGACAACCCGTGACCGACATGACAATTGCTCCCATCCAAAAGACGACCAAACCAAGAAGGGTCGGGCAGGCACTGGGTTTGTGGTTTCGTGTGTTTACCTGTATCAGCAACCAAAGTTCTACTTGCCGTTGTCTCTGAAACGTTAGCATCCCGTGTGAGAAACAGGTGTGCGTTTTGTCTTATGCTGGGATCTTGGTTTTGGGTGATCTCTTTTCGATTTCTGGAGTACCATTGTCGGCTACTCATTTGTCTTGTTGCTCGGGAATCGCTGTGCATCAGTAGCGTTGTCGTGTCTATGGTCAACATTTGCCAGGCCTTTTTCCCTTTGAGTGGAGCGCAACTCATGAAATTACTGGCATATTCCTGAACCGTCAAACTACGTACTGATAAAATAGGGAGTTTACCAACCACAAGCTTGGGACAAGAACCCAGTTTTATGTTGGAATCGCGAGGGTCCAGGTGCTGGTATATTGCCAGGGAGGATATGGGGACCCCAAAACTCATGCGCAGTGATTCCATTGACCTGTTAGGTAACCAGGGGGGGTTACCGCCTTGACAACAGGCCCTCTTGAGACGTCCAACTGCGCAAGTCGGGGTGCTTCGGAACCCTTTCTCATTCAGCCCGCCCAGGACACCAGCAATGAGAGTAGCCCATTCTAAAGAAGAAAAGGCGTTTGGCCACAACAGATAACCCTTGGATCCATGTTCCCGTTGGTCTACCTGGAGTCTCCACGACCCTTAACAACAGGGGGGTTATGACCCCTTTGTGTTGGGTAATTAATGACTTCGATTTATTATGTCGGGTTCCACCTTGGTTTCACGTGGGAAATGGGCAGGTCTCCTGTTGGTGGATCTTTTCGGGAAGCAAACCCGCAGCAACCGCCTTAGGCTTGCTCTAGCATACTGTAGCGACCCCTCTGCACAAAGTTGAACTCACTTTTCTTGGTGGCTCCCAGCCATCCGGTCCCTTAGCTTTTTAGCCTTTTGGTGTTTAGTGGGGGTTTCCATTGAACTCACTAGAAGTTAAACTTTAGCAGGGGATCTGAGGGCTTGATTTCGTCCAAGTCCAAGTCTAAAGACCCTTTCATGGTAGTTGTTGGGAAACATTTCGCATTTTTGCTTCTTGTGGTTTAGTGGTTGAAATCCAAATCCCTACTGAACTGCTATTTTGTTTCAACATTTTGATAATTTTTGCTCCCCAAACTTCCAACGTCAACCAAGCGCTACGCAAATCGCTCAATCCTCACGCGGGCTTCACGCGAGGTATGCCGAGCTCAATGGGCTCCTCTATGGCCTCAAGGACCCGCTGGAATCCAATTCCGAATGTTCGAAGTTTGGGTGTGGCTCCAAATTAAAGAGGAGGGGTTACGCAGGTTTTGGTCCATGTTTCCACTTACCAGGGTTATTTTGAACGCCGGACGTTTTTTGTTGGAACTAGCTCAAAAGTGGCTGGTGGACTGGTGGACATTAATCCCACCTCATTGTCCAAAGGGTCCGCGATTTGAATTCATAGCCACACTGCTGCTGCTGTAATCAATGCTTCACTTTTTGTGCCTCTTGCTTCTTCCGGCGGACCCCTTTGTTCAGTGGGCATTCTGGGGAAAAACGATTCCAGGACCCCCAATTGGGGGGTCAGCTATCTTAAGAAAGTCTTCCAAGGGGTCCTGAGAGCTTCCATGGAATCGCCTGGCGTAAGGTGAGGGTTGTTGTTATACATTCTTAGGCGAAGGATCTTCTCCAATGTAGCTCACTTCCCTCGATAAATCCACTCGGCTTGGGCTATCCCAGTGCTTTTCCAACCATTACAACTATAGCCAGGTGTTTTTCTACCTGGGACCGCGGCACGACAAAAGCGCCTCTTGAAGGGAGAACATTCCCCTTAGAATCCTACAATGCTTAACCTTGGGAGGCGTGGCTGTCAAATTTGGACCCGGGCAGCCTTTTGCCGACGATGAAATATATAACATGGTGTGATAATTTACGGTCTTACGCATGCCTATGATTGTAGTTAAGAAACAGAAGCTTTCTTTTGACAGCCGTGTGATTTTCTGGACGTGTTTTTGCCACAAAGTGTTTGAAACTGCAGCTAATGGGTTTCATAGCGGTCGCATGCGTAAATGACAAAAGGAGTGACCAGGCAACTGCGGGAATTGACCAGGCCATCGTGGTGGGTTTGCTGGAAGGGAGCCGCGTTGGGCGCCACGCACGATCCGCGTTTGGCTCAGCCAAAGAAGACCTACCGAGCCATGCACGGGTTTCAGTGGGGGTATTCCGAGGAAGCATGAACCTAGGGGTTTGAGAGAAATTATCATGGTTGTTGTTGGGAAACAGTTTACATTTTTGCTTATTGTGGTTTAGTGGGAAATCCCCACTTAACTGCTCCCCTTTCAACGTCAACCAAGTTATGAGTCTTCTACTCTTTGAATGTGAGAACCAGAGAGAGCACAGCACCCATCGATGTCATAACTTTAAGAGTTGAGGACTTCAGCGAGATGTGTCGTTCCATCCGGAATTTTTGAAACCTTGCAGGAAAAAAACACTCGGGGCGCTTCCCATCTGTGCGTTGGATCGTGCGCCCACTCGACGGATTTGGGCACTAGAGGGCGGATTTGCCATGACGCCGCGATGGCTGGGCTCCCTGACCTCAAGGCTCAAAGTGCCGAAGCTGGAGCTGCCAGGCAGGCTGGAAGCCGCCTGTGCTTTCTCCTGGGCAAGGCGCGGGGGGCGAGGGCTGGGGGGGGGGGAGCCGAGCAATTTTTGTTCCTCGGAAATTTCAGGGTGCAAGGAGTCCACGGGGAAGAACGAGCGAAACCGGAGATGTCCGTCCTTTGGGGCTCCCTTGTTTCAGGGTTATGATCGTGTAGTTTGCAAATCTGACCATATGTGTTCATCGTTACAGCGGAAGCGTCAATATGCCTGACTTGTCATTTGCAACAGAAACCGAATATGTCCTGCAACTACTGTGGATGGATGCGAAATCCATTTCGCACCACCTTTCAGAAACCCTAGCTGGAATGTGTCGATTCGGTTCCTGAACGTAAATACAACAATAATTATGGTGTTCCATGCTTTCAAAGGGGTGCGAGATGGATTTCGCTCATTTGAGCCCAGCAGATCAGATGCGCAAGTGCCAAAAGGAACCCTTTCGATCCATTCTCCTGAAAAGGGACCCGGGTGGGAGAACTCCTTTTGCCGCTTTGTTGTCCAGAGCGATTCCACTGTTTCATAGTTTGGTTCCCCCAGTTTCGTCCAAATTTTAGTCAAGGCTCCAACAGACTTTAGGTTTTTTGGGTCCTTTGGACAGGTAGGTACCGGGAAATGGATTCACTGGCATTAGATTTTGTTTATTGCCTGGGTTCGACGTTGGCTGGGGGTCACGGTTTGTCCCAAACGATATTGGGCACAAGTCAAACACAGTTTTGAAGGTTTCTTCAAGCTCACGAAGGTTGTTAAAGCTCACTGGGTTTGGCAAGAGGTCTTGGCAGTCTGGGCAGGGAGGTTCTTGTAAGGCACCCTGTGCTACCTGACGAAGTTGGCAGGGCTTGCGGGAATCCGGAGGAAACCATGATAGAACATACAGTGGTTTGTGTGTGAAGAAGACATACTCTGACCTGACGGATGATTAATCACGTTCCAAGGTTGTTTGACTTGCATTCAATGGCCTCGTTCTTACAACCTTTGCTTCCCTTTGCTCTAGCAAACAGTTTGGATTTGCGATTTGCACATGAAATTCCTCCGCCTTCCTCGTGTTAGGTAAAATGATTTGGTTTCGAGGTAGGAACATATTAGAGCACTAAACGATGTTGGCAAGAACGGGTGGAATCCACAAGAAAGTCCATAGATTGTTGTACCCTTGGAATCCTCCATTTGCTTAAGTTGTGTTTGTTGTTTTAATTATTATTTTCCCCGGTTGGTTTTGAAGGGAATCTATCACTACTGGACATAATTTTACATTCCAGGGGGCTTAAGCAAATGGAAGGAATGTGTCAGCCAGCACATCCGAATCGCTTTCCAGGCACACGAATCGTTTGTCAGCCTAGATTTGAGGGCCTTACCAGTCTCTGAGAACCATCGTAGGGTATGGGCAACAAGGGCAATGTTGACCCCATATCATTCAACCAGCCAGTGTATTACTAGGGGGTTGCTTCTCCCTGGGCGAAATGTGGGACTGTTGGAGGGGCCAAACACCACCCCGCTATTAATAGACTGGGGTTGATCAACATGGGGTCAACATGAATCCGGCAAATGACCGCAATGTACCACCTGGAGTCTCCATGACCCTTGAAGAATGGGGTCATTACCCAAAATAGAGGGGTCATGGACCCTTTTTCTAGGCGTCAGAAGGAGACTCCAGGCATGGAGTTTCTGTGGAACATACCTCGGGTGAGCTTTCCTGTGACCAAACGGGGGGTTTGTAACCAACAGATTCGGAGGCCAGAAAGCCCAGGCTGGTGTACAAAACCTGGAACCTCAAAATTTTCCAAAAATGGGTTTGCTGCAACCCAAAAGGTACTCACTTCCTGAGTTCATGAACTTGAAACTTTTTGGGTTTGGACCATTTTAGTGGTAAATTTTAAGTTTTGTTACTTTTTTTGGGCCTCCACTCAGCCAGTGAGGGTATGGAATTGGTGAATCCCAACTTGTTTGATGTGTAGTTGAGTGGATCCAGAACTCGTTTGATGTTTGAATTCCAGCTTTGAATTCTAGCTTGTTTGGTGGGTCCAGGCACAAATTCGCGGATCTAGCGAAAGCAAGCCTCACCATTATATACCCGAAAACAAAGGATAGGACGACCCCCCTCCTGCGCACCTCCTTGGCCGAAGAAAGCAACAACATCCCTCCAGGCAGTCGAGTCCGCCGGGGAAGAAGTTACGGGAGCTCGGCGGCGTGGAGGATGTCCTGAAGATGGACCTGGGGGGGGGGAGACTTTCGGTTTTGGGAGGTCGGCTGACCTTGAGACAGATTTTTATACCTGGAGTCTCCGAGACTGAGAGCCTCACCCTGTCTCCAAGACTGGGTCCATGACAAGTTTATTTGTTTTGGGTGAGCCAATGTTTAAAAGGGTCAGAAGGAAGCTCTAGGTAGGGTCCCAAGGGCTTTGTTGAGGTCTTTGGTCAAAGGCCTGCAATTTGGGATCTTGGCCTCCCGGTTAGGGAAACCAAAGAGAACACCACATTGTTGGTTGGGGGGTTGGGGTTCGCCTAGTTTCTGACACACCCATGTGTCCATTGCCAGATACAACTATCCTTCACGTTTTGCTTTGTTGGTTTTCAAGATATTCCCTTGGAACCAGCCAAAGTCTGGCCATGTTTTAGGATACACAAAAGAAGCAGCAGTGACCACTTTAGTTGAATCATGCATGATGTGTGGACTGACAGTGCAGGTGTCCTCTTGTTGTTGCCAAACAAGTCTTGGTGTACGGAGATCAGCAAGAAACGCCAAGAAAGAAACAAGAACACCAAGAACACCAAGAAACGTTATGGTTTACAATGGTGTCAGTTCGTGCGGCATTTCTGGATTTCGCAACCATCCACAGTAGCAACCGGTGTTCTTTGGCTTTAGGCTTTCCCATGGGCCAGTTCTTCCTCGTTGCCTCAACTGGGTTGGTGGCAAAATATCGGCTTGCTAAAGTTCCCTGAGTTAGGTTCCCACCTGGAACCCCATGAAAAAGGGAACTCACCCCATAAGTTTGGGGCAATAACCAATTTGTTGAGGAATTTTGAGGGTCCGCGTAGCCGTGAGGATGACGTATTTTCAATTGCTCTTGAGATGTTTGTCGTTTTCGGTTCTGAACAGCACCTTTTGGGCCGCGTTGAAATGAGGGCCGTTTTGGCAGGATGATGGTTGAAGTCGACATCTAAGGAACCTTGCAATTGTTTGAACTCCCTGCAACACCTGCCTGACCTCCTCAGTCTTCCTGAAGGTGCCTCGAGGTGGGATTGAGAACAGGTTTAGCCCGCCTGGCACCATTGAGGGCGACCATGCTTCCACCGGTAAAAAAAAGACGACACTTCTTAAATTGGGGACAACATTAGGTGAATAAAATTGTGGTGGGGGTTCATGTCCACCAAACACTTGTCAGGTGGCTCCGTGTTTATAGTCATTATTCCCAAACAGCAAAGAGCCCATCTCGACCTGTTAAGCTGCCATTTCCTAGTCAGCCACATTGTTACGTAACATGTAGATGTTTCAGTAATTTGCAGGCCCATGTTGCAACTACCTACTGCATAAGACGAACAGCTGTATTGAATCAAGCTTGCCTGATGAATTGCTTGTGCTGCGCCTCTCTTCCTCTCTTTG